TATTTTATTTTATTTTATTTTATTTTATTTTATTTTATTTTATTTTATTTTATTTTATTTTATTTTATATTATTTTATTTTGTATCCTGTTTGTACGTACGTGTATGCTATGGATAGTTGGTCAATATTTAATGTCATATTTATTGTATTTTCAAAATATCCGTAGCGAACATATTATATAGAAGAGATGGCGGATGAGGTAGTTGGCATAGAAGTGCAAGTCATTCGTTTTACAGTACACAATTCGTACCTTTCCTACAGGGTCGATTTAAGCGCAATATGAAGTTTGAAAGATTCGCATGCAGTTTTTTTTCCATTGCAGCGGGTTGGCAGCTGTATCAAGTGAGCTGCGAAAGCGCTACTGTCTGCACACATGGAATAGTATATTTGTATGTATATATGTGGGTATATTTAAATTTAAGTATTTTTCGTTTCGAATCAAATCGTAGATAGATATATAGAAATATGAATAAAGAGAGGTTATTTTCTTCGAGAACGAAACTACGTGCTAGTTCTTCACATCGTTTATGAATATGTACATATTTTTATAGTACAAAAGAGTAGACGAAATGGGTCGCTCAATAATTTTGCTCAGTATAGGAGCTGAAAAGATTTCTTCATTTGTCTCTCTGTTTGAATGTACGTAAATAAAGAAAAGCATACAAGATATAAAAAAGACAATGCTTTTTTCCTTATTTTCCTTATTTTCCATTTAAAACAATAATTTAAAAATGATTGTAGTAAATTTGTATGGATGTGTGTAAGCTGTGTGTACACATATTCTGATCCAATTCAATTGACTTACTTCAATCATAGACGAAAAGACCATTACTCAAACAGATAGGAATCTGTGTTCATGCGCTCCAGTGTTTACTCATTTAACTTACATTGAACTCAATAGATATATTGCAAAAATGCAGCAAGGTTTGGCAAAATAGGTACACATATATCATATACATGTATTCTACATATGTATATACTTCATGCGTTTGAAAAGTTTCTCTTATTTGCTGGCATAAAAAGAATGTAAAAATTTCCATTTCCATTTTCAGGTTAGCTGGTGTAGAATATTATGATATTCCTCTAACCTAGACCCACCATTCCAGTCATCATTTGGCTTAATATCACAACAATAGGATAGGAAAGGTTAAGATACGTTCCAGTTTGTGAGTGAGCTCCGATGGGCATGGCATACTCTCAGAGAAACCTTTGAGCACGAAGAATTGTTGGTGAGTCAAAGTTTTTTTCATTTTTTATATTTTTTTTTTTACAAATATATGATACAAGAAGAAAAATCTTTTTCGACAAACTTACTTCCCCATTAATTTTCCATATCAACGCGTGGTCAAGCAAAATTTCTTTCTCTGTTTCATTGTATCACACTTCGATCCCTTTTATACTGTTAAAATCTCTAACTACCCAAGTAGATAAGAGATCGTGCTCAGTTGTGGCTACTTAGTAACAAAATGGATTATAATCAACTTATGGTTTGACTAACTGATTATGATTGTTCGTGATCGAGCTAAAACTAATTATTTCTTCTAAACTCGTAAATCCTTTGTTGAAACATTTAAATTTGATAAACCAAGTGTACATATATGCATTATTTTATATTTCGTGCCCGAGCTTGGTATGTGTTGGATACGGCGCGATATCAACTACAAAACGAACGAATTTGTCGAGGTTGTGAGGACGTTTTGGCGATTTGCACCAGGCTCGAAGTTAACTTTAAATCAGTTGGCTCTTTGAAAACAGCATGTTTTAGGTGAATGGAAATTATAAATTTGTGTTAAAACGCTCTCACACTTCCTGCTGAGTAAAATGAAAACGGAATACACCGGTGTCAGTAATTGAGGAGGCGACCAAGGCATAAACGAAGACAATTCTTGGAGTGTTCCAGAGAAGATGTTTGCATAAAATTAACAACAATGGCAATATTTCGAAAGACGCTGTAAAAAATGGTGGTAATCCAGACCATCTAATATTTGCGCATTAAAATGCACATCAACTGCTGCAGAGAAAGAATAAACGTGAGCGAAATGTGATGGAAGGAGCAAGCATTTTAGGAGAGAGTAAGTATAAAAAATTAACCTATCATTTGTTGGCATATACATAGATACTTTTTATGAATGATATATATATATTTATGCAAACGTACATATACCTCTTTGAGTATGTATATTGTATATAAAAGGTGAATTTTTAGCTATTATCTTTTTGGCAACACTGGTTCAAACAGCTGACGCCCTTTTCGTGTTTTATATCACTGTCAAACATCTTCATTTTGGTCTATAGTTTAACCATGAATCGTCTTGGAAATTATAATTTTTTTTTATCAAAATGCGTGCTCTGTTAAGAAAGTTCATTTCGCGCTTCTTCCGCGCGCTCTTCGAATCTTATTTTTGGCTAAATGGAAGCGTAAATAAGCAGAACTGTAAATTTTTGAGTGAAGATCAGCCAGATGCATTGTAAGAGCAACCAACGCATTCAAAAAACGTCACAGTTCGTTTCGGTTTATAGACAGGTGGCATCATTGGATCGTACTTCTTCAAAGAAGATGCGTATAGTGAATCGTGAGCGCTACCGTGAGATGATATACAACTTTTTTTTTTGCCCAGCTTGACTTGCATGACATGTGGTCTAAACAAGACGGTGCTACATGCCACACAGCACGCGTAACAATGGACTTATTGAGAAGCGAGTTCGGTGAACTTTTATTTCACATTCTCGACCGGTCAATTGGCCGCCTAGATAATGCGATTAAACGTCTTTAGACTATTTTTTGTGGGGCTATGTTAAATCTTATGTATATACAGACAAGTCCACTTCAATTGACGCATTGGAGGATACCGGCCGAAATGTTGGAAAGATTATGACAAAATTGGACAAAGCGGGTTGGCCATTTGAGGCCCAGTCACGGTCAATATTTGCATGGAATAATCTCCAAACATTCATTTTTATGGACTGTACTATCGATTCAAATAAAAATTTCATGCATTTTTCTGAATTTTATGTGTTTTTTTTAAAAACTCCCCTACAGCTCTTAAAAAACACCCTTTACATGCATATGTGTGTGAAAATTCTTTGAATTTTGCTCCTAGTCAAGGAGGACAATGCTCAGCGGGTAAACAACTAAGCAGCAGCTAACCTTGCTAGCGAGCAATACAAGCGCTGCCGCCATAAAGCAGAAGCCATGCTAATATTGTTGTCAGTGGTGCACAGCGGCAACTAGAAATTGTGCAACTTATTGTATTATTGCTATTGTTATTGTAACGTAGCTGCCGTGTTGCATGTAAAAATCCTACAGCAAACACAATTGGAATACTAAACAAAACACACGAAAGGCAAATGCAAACTGCGCGAACGGACGAGCACAGAAGCTCTGCTCATGGAGGTAAGACGGTTACGGGCTGACGGCAAGGTAAGCGGCAGATGGCATGCGGCAAGCAGCAGGAGGCAACAGACAACTGTAATAATGGCGTTGCTAAAAAGATGAAGGTATAATATAAAACAGTGTAAAGATGCTTATACTCTTTGCTTTGCTTGTAGGTGTGCTTTTGTGTGGACGAGTGGGTGGATGGGTATTGTATTTGTATATGAACAAAGGTGTTATTTCCCATTATATTGTTTGCCATTGGCATTGGCAGTATGCGGCATGATTGCTTAAAAGAAACGAGTATCCTTGCAAGCGTGTCTGTGTATGCAGAAAGACAATGAAGGTTAGTGCACAGTCCGGGTGCGGACGTATGCCAATGTTTGCATTTTATGTTGCTGATGCAAAGTGCTTAAGTTGTTGTTGTTGTTGTTGTTGCCATGCTACTGCTGTTGGCAATAATAATGATAGCAATGCGCAATAAAGGGCGTCGACGTAAACGCGATATTAGTAGAGTTAATAAAATATAAGAAGTGTTGCTTCTCTTTATATTTATAAATTTTCTGCAAGCTTAAAAGCTCACATTAAATGATTTCAAATATCAAAAGTGATCGACATATTTAACAAGTATAAAAATTATATACCGTTCAGTGCCAATCGGGGACACCAAGTGAAATTGGACTCCTCTCCATCTGTTCATTCCAGTAGAGTGTAGGTTCTCCTTTTCCATTGGTTCCACTGGCGGGTACTGCCTCGAAAACTTTAAAAGCTGAAGCTTTGTCGCCGATAAGGGCGCCATAATCTAGACAACGGTCCCTAGACGTACTTTCGTCTACACTATTCGCCATATCCGATGTATAATCTTCCGCAACCTGTCTGAAAACTTTTTTCTTATCGAACAGATTGTAGAGATCTTCTGCACTGCTGACGTTAAACTCTTTTCTGGCGATGCCAAAATGAGACTAGCGATTGCTGTTTTAAAATCGTCCAAGTGTTGGTGTGTGTCGATACTTTGCTAACGATTTGGCAAGTTTCAAAAACCCCCAATGCCATGGTCCAATCAGTCTTAAGTCTTCCACACATTTCGCAATCACATATGATGCTATATGCGATAGAGGAGAAGCATGTGTCATGATGATTGGAGCAAGTTGGTTATGAGAGCCAGCTGAAAAATCTGTTACTTGTTCAATAATCCCCCAGCGTAGAGGGTAGGTACCTTTTGTGACTAAGAACCTTTGCGTAGCATTTGAGTAATTAATTTTTAGTCTTTTTTCACGAAAAATGCTTTCCTTCACTATGATTTCTGCCTTAGTTTTTGGTTAAGTAATTTTAAAATTATCCTTAAGTTTGCGTACGTCCAGAATTTTAACATGAAAATTACAGTCAGAGCCCAATGCATACTAAGAAGCACAAAAACAGATGGAGAGGGAACTTTTATATTTATATTTATTTATTCTATTATATTATTAAGTATTAGTTTTCTATAAATTAAAGCTCATTCAATGATGATATTTAACGACATTAAAATTAAAAAAAAAAGTTTTTTTTTTATATTTTCATTCCGGTGGCATCATTCTTGGAAGGCAATTCCAAATGCCATTAACATTTCTTTCCTTTCCTTCTTCTTTTATGTACCAATCTAACTTTATTCTCCTAAAGTGTTTCGTGTGTAAGTCATTGGAAAACTTTTATTGCAAGGTAAAAACGAAAAAATTCAAAATGGAACTTCAATTTATTGAGAAATTAAATGCACTAAATTATAAATATTGGGCTATAATGGCGCGTACTTATCTTGAAAAGGAGGAGTTGTGGGATGTTATTGAGCGAAAAGATCCGGCTTCAAATGTTTGTATAATACATATACACGTACATACATATATATATTAGTTAAAATAATATTTAATTATTTCTGTTATTTACTTTATTCCCGGCAGACTTTGGTTAGAGAAAAACGCGTCAAGTTCATATTACTTTGCATCATTGAGCCAGCATTTATAAATGATCTTCCGGAAAATGTTAGAAGTGCAAGAGAGTTGTGGTTGCATTTTGCTGGACGTTTTGTAAAGAGACGAAGCGTGTCACAATCCCCTGCTTCATCACCCACTGATAAGAAGCGCACTGTGTTTTTTTCAAAGTAAAATTTATTTATCATTAGAAACTTATTCAAAGAAACAGATATATATATGTATAAAGTAAAATAAATAAATGAATGGAAATGTTGAAATGAAATTCGATCGTCTCCTTTCTAATACAAGAAAATTACAGTCATTTGTGCTTTTCAAATACAAACTTTATAAATATGTATTTAAGTGCATGCGTTTATCTGAAAAGTCTTTCCACGTGAATTCTAATGATTTTGAGTAAATTTTAACAGATGACAATTTGACACTTTATATAGGAGAATGAAAGGTCAGCATGTAAAAACAAAGTACTTATATAACGGTTATATTCCATTATATATATTTGCAGTTTTAATACAATGTTCCATTATCACCTATTCTGCTTATGCTTTTTTTACTTAATTTTTTTGTTATTTCAGTGTTTATTTTAAGTTAATTCTAATAAGTATTTTTTTAAATTTTTTTGTCATTCCCTTTAATAAACTTTCTAGTGAAGTAGGGTGAGCTACAGAACGAATGTGATTACGTTTTATTCTCGTATTTCAAAATTTTTAAGCGAAATCGATAAAGGTTATTGGTTAAACAAATATATAAGCTAAACTAAAGTTTTGTATTACTGATTTTCCCTGTCCAAGGTCTCTCATGAAAATATCAACATGAATACCTCATAGTAACCATTTTAAGCTAAGCTTACTCACACCTAATTTGAAAGTATAACAACAACTTGTGAGCCGCTGTCGCAGAGCTTAGCTAATATCCCAACCCTAAAAATGTTTACCAATCTGTTGGCGATCCTTTTCTCCTGCAGAAAGTATAATACAAATGTATTTTTTTCGCATACGTGTATGTAGTGAGAAGAATATTCTGCCTGTTAATCTAAGCAAAAAACCTTCTATGAACCGAATTTCAAGTAAAACGAATACGCATATAAAAACGATACTTTCGAATAGGTTGGTCCTTGATCTACTTTTTGGTTTTGAAAAAATTTTAAGTCTGTCAGTTGATAACTTTTCGAGTCTTTTGCAAACGAACTTAAAATGTGTATACTTTTACATATAAAGATTTGCCTTAATCACATTTGTTTGAAGTCAAAAAATAGTATTGCCTATTATTTTTGGGACAACTTATCATTTGAGCTTTCCTATGAAACTTGATGTTCTTCCAGTAAATAGATGACTCTACAATTAGAGCAACCTCGGTCGAAGTATGGACTTTTGTGTGAAGCTATAATTTTCTTAAAAACATTTAATGTTTGACCCAAAGATTACCCATATGGCATTATACCCCAGCAACTACTAGAGTTGAGAGCCCAGAAAGAGACTTGAAACAGCAGAAGGGAATAATTGTAGTTTCGATTAAAGTTGAAGATCGAAATCAGCTGGTGATACGAGCCACTATGAAGTCTAAAAGTGCTTAGTCTGCAGTGAGCTCTCATTAAGTTTTAATCGAAACTCCATAGTCTGTATCAGCCTTTATGTTTTTGTATATATATTCACTTATATATACGTACACGTATATGATTAATACTCACATATTATAAAACGTATGGTGGCTGATAAGCAGAGCTCCATTAATATTTGTTTCATTGCATTAAATGAGATTTCAGCAAAGGGAAGAAGAGAGAGTGAATGAATGGGAGAAATTTAGTATTGTATGAGCATGTCGCCATGCATGGTTGCCATCAAGCCAAAAAAAAGAGCTTTTAGTATCGAATTATAATGGCTTTTCAACATTTTTAACTTGCTATTCTCATTATTTGTGTCTACTAAGAATATATTTACTATTTTAAAAATAAACATAAGTGATTAAAATCAATCTAGCAAATTACATATTTGTATGTAGGTTATGCATTTGTGTTTCCGTTGTAGAGAAAATGAGAAGAGAGTATTAGAGTTAGTGTTAAAGCTTCCTCAATCTCGGATTTCAGTAGGGAAAATTATTCGCCAAAAGATCACAATATATTTTATTATTAACTAAAATAATTAAAAATCGTTAAAGTGATTAGTTTAGAAAGTTTTAGGTACAAATTTTCCATATACATTTTTTTGAAACGAAATTCAATCTAATTTCTGAGCATATTTATTTTGCTTTAAGCACCAAATATGAGTTCCATGTTTCTAAAATCTTGACAACCTTTTAAAAAAAATTGGGTGTATACTATTATAAATAGGAACGCTCCATTTCCGAAAACAAACCAAAATAAAATTTGTGATGAATAGAAAAATTTTTGTATTTCAAGTTTCACATTCAGTTTAGTTTAATTTCTTGTGATATTTCTGTGTATTAAAACAATAACAATATATATATATATATGCTCGTATATATATTTTTGTTTTAAAAGGGCATAGATGCCAAGCAGTCTCCCATTTTGCGCATTAATCGAGAGCTCGCCGTAGAAATAATCCACAGTCGTAATTTGACATTTGCGAAAACAAAAGCGATTGAGACGCGATTGAAAAATAACAGAAAATCCAAATACCGACGTACAAAAATACAAAGTCATTCAAAATATGAAGACAGTGTGTCAGTAGTATATAGTATGTACTATATATTTCGTTGTATTTATGTACAATATAAAATCAAATTCAATTAAAAGTGCAAGCGAAATTTGATAGCGAATGAAATTTTGTGACTAATTTTGAGTGAAGTTTTTCCATCAAAATATTTCTTGAAGAAATTCCGTCGTTTTTAAGAAGGGAAATTTAAAACTGAAATCATACGCGATGTCACGTGGGTCAAATATGTCAATTTGTTGTTGTTATTATAAATTGTTATTGCTTTTATGGACAGCTTATGCGATGACTGTGGCCATGGCGAGTCCCGCTTATCGCGGTATGTACATACATATATAAAAGTTATTGTTTTTATTTACTCAACAAAATTTATATGTATATACAATAATATTATATGTTTACTTATTTACATACATTTAGTAGATATTTTTATATAATAAATTTATACTAAAATATATGTACATGAATATATAAATATGCATGTATTATTAATCATTCAGCTAGCTTCAATTACGGCAAGTGCACTGATGCTGAAACCGGACGCGAACTATACGTCGGCGAGGCCTTCACACGGCCGGGACAATGTATACGAGTACAGTGTTTAGGTACACTGCAACTTTGGCAAGACAGGTGATAACATTTTTTCGCTACCTTTGCAATCATTAGGGTGGTACTTAGTACTTTAGTTTTTTTTCGAATTTATGCCAAAATTCAGTAAAGAATTTATTTTTTATTTGCTCTGCAACTGATAATTTTGCAAAAAATATGAAAAAAAGAATTGAAATAAGTGCCACTTTAAAATAAGTTTATATGAGCAGGCTCTTATAAGAAATCCTTAAAATTATAAAACATATGTACTTAATCGCTTTTTTCTCTTCAGATGTGAAGTGCCCAAACTAGAGGGTAATTGCTCCGCAATACCACCGGCCAATGAATTTTTGGACTATCCGAACTGCTGTCCACTGTATATGTGCAAAATGGTTGTGTTGGGTGAAACGGATACGGTTGATGAGACTCGTACATACAATCAGTATGGTGACTTAATAAAAGTGGATATAAAACAAATATTCAGTGTTGGACCAGCGAAAGGAAACATACCAGGCGCTGGTATAAGAAGAGAATTTGCAATTTAAAAAATATTGTATTTCTATTATTAATTATTCTGTATGATATTTGTAATATATAATATAAGCGTGTTGTATGAAAACTATTTACTTAATTGCAAGTAAAGCTAAGAGTAAGTTTCGAAAATTGGTCGTTGATCTTTAATATTCAAAAGAAAAATCTGTTAAGTTAGAATAAGACTTTTGTCAGAGAAGCAGCAAATATCTGTTATCTCCCTGCAGGAAAAAGTTAGACCAGTCTGCAAAAATTCTAATTAAATAATAGTATTTTGAGGACGATATCTCACTACGTACCACAATTATACTAGTATTTAAAGGACAAAAATATATTAGTTCGTCATAGGCGAAAATAATTCTATTTTATTTCGGTAAAACTGTATCATAACAGTTTGGCGTTTTACAAAAAGTGATTGACCAAAAATTGCGACCACACATTTTTAGAATTGATGCTACAACAACAAAAACCATATTGTCCTGTGTTGAATAGTTCTAATTCAACTTTAAATAAATAGATTTATTTTTTATTTTTATTAGTACGATACAGACTGGGCTGAGGCGAAGTAGTTCACACGTGAAATGAACAAACTAGTATTATACTGTTAAATATAAACTGAATTTTAACTAATATAAAGCTGATGCATAGACTGATATTTATCAATTATAATTGACAGTTTGTAGGACACGACGTGTTAAAAATACTACTTACATGCAGGGAAAACAGGTGGAAGATAAAAAAATTGGTGTAATAATGTAAACTAGTTGGGTTTTATTTAACAGCTAATATTTTTCACTGCAGGGTCTGTTAATTTATTATATCACCTGCAAATTCGACGCCTTTCAAAATAACTCCACGGCAACAAATAATCCAATCAACAAAATAAAAAAATCAGCTGGTCTCTGAGTAGGTGAATACGGTGATTGTTAGATGATATTTGTAAAAAATTGTGTCAGAAACTAATGCCGAATGATGGCGGTCGATCCATAAATCTTACTTTTTCAATGAAATTTTTCTATGTCGAATTGCACAGTCATGCAACGGTGGTGGTCTCGTTCTGTAGCAAATTTCCCTGGGAAATATTCGCATAGCACGCATGCTCTAGACTAAGAGGATACCCTTCGTCGCCAAGCTCACGAAAGAAAAATGCTTAATACTTCAGCCGCATGAACGGAATGGGACTCCAACATACAAGAGCAGACGAAGCGTAATTCGCTTCATTTTTACATACGATAGTAACTTCCAATTGGGTTGGATTGGTAATTTCTCACATTATCTAATTTATTTGAAGACCTTTCTAACTAGGATCAAACCTTGCTGGGTATAATTTAAATCGACTTTTTTACTTTCGATCAGGCAATTTGAGTGTTTCTGCCTTGGAAATAATCCAATTGTGTTTTTTTTTCATCTACAATTCTTATATTGAACGCACACATAATTTTCTTTTTAATATTTCAATTTACAGCGAACAATTTTCATCAAATAATTACTGAGTATGCAAGACTTTCGTTTAGTCTTCGATACACGAGTATGCAACTTTATGGAAAGTATGTATGTAAATCCTTTCTTATATAAGAAACGTACTTACCCACACGATGTATGAATATGTAAGAGTATATCTGAAATGTTTTCAATTGCATGATACATGCATTTACAAACACATATATATTTACACAACACAAACGTGCGTGTGATTACTTTGAATGAAGGAGAAAGTTTGCCAGGTAATTATCAACACTTAACTTTTATAGCAAAAGCACAAGTTCCCTTTGAGGAAAAATTGTGCCTTCGTACCATAAATTATTTTTTATTTTTTCCTAAATTTAAATATTAAAATATGAACGAAAATTAAATGCAATGAAATAAAATGAAAAAAAATGGATTTAAATAGAAAAAACCGAAATGAAGTAAAATAAAATAAAATATTAAAAAATGGTATAAAATTCAAATCAAATAAAAGAAAATAAAATACAGCTAAACCAAAGTATTACTAAATAATTTAAAAAGTGAAATTATTATATAAAATAAAGTTTTAATCACCAAAACTGCTGTCACTTCAACTGTTTTTGTTTTTGTTGTATAACAAAATATTCAATTTATACAAACAAGCCAGGCCTTTAGTTTACTTAATAATTATAACAAAAATTATTATAAAGCATGGCAGCAAAACTAATTATAAAATAAATAATAATAAATTGAAAACTAAAAATAAAATGAATTAAAATAAGATAAAAAATTTAGTTAAAATTTTAAAATAAAAAAGTGAAACAAAATAAAATATGATAAAAATTATTATATTGAATATATAATTTAAACAATATAAAAATAAAAGCAGGTGAAACAAAATTAATTAATATATAAAAAAATTAAATAAAATAAGGCAAAAATAAGTTGAAGTAAATGGAATGAAATGATAAAATTCGTTCTAAAAACTCGAATTCAAGTTAAGATTACTTTGAAGTAATTAAATTGATAAATATTGCTTAATATGAAGTTAGAGATTTGCCGTTAAATTCATATCGTTTCAAATTTTTTAGCTCTTCTTTTTCTTTGCGATTGTAGGGGAGTTAACGAAAGCAAGCCAGTCGTTTCTTCGCTTTACGGTGCCAACTGGAGAAGCCAGGTTCTTCTCCGCTTTAGCTTTTATCTGTTTACAGCCGGCGGCTACTGCATCGAAAACTTTGAAAACCTCCTATATTGGCTGCCTCTTTAACTAGAAGTAAGCGAAATAAAGAAAATCTTAAATTCGATAAGTGAAACGAAGTAATGTACAATTTCCTACAGGTTCACCTGTAGGCAAAGGAAAACTATATGTGCCTTTCTTCATACTTTGAAGTACACTTACAAGTACATACGTATGCATGTATAAAATTACAAAAGTACCATATTTCAACACTACACATTTCCATGCCCATGTAATTATTGCTTTTGCATTTTAACTTATTTTTTTTTATTTCATTTTTTATTTCCCAGCACTTGTTTGTGTGAAAATTGTGTTCAAACTTTATTGCTCGGTATCAAAAGTTCACATAGAATTCCTTTAATTAATATAACCGCTTCAGATACATAAGTATGAAAACTCAGGGTGTTTCAAGAAGTTAAAAATTTTGTAAAAGTTTACTTTGTTCACCACAAGCACTTAGCTTACGTACGTTGGCTTGGTTTCGTGTTAAATTTTTCTCTCTTGAAAAGTTAAAATTATCTAAAAAAAAAAAAAAAAAAAGAATAAAACAAAATCTTTCCAGGTTAATCATTAACCTTTTACGCTGACAAATTTTTTAATCAACCACGCAAATAGAGTAAGACTCCCGGAAGAGAAACTTTATTTGTGAGAATAAAATTTTCGGAAAAAACTTTCAAGATACATATTTTTCCAAAATATTTTCGATTTTCCCAAATTGTATATTGAAGATTTCGTTTCCAAGCATCCTTAAATTATCAAATATCCTTCTGGAAAAATTTCTTTACTCTTTTGTAACACTCGTTGCCTTTTGCAAAATTTTGAAATTATTTTTTTTAAATGGAGTTTTCGCGGAGTAAAAATGGAGCAACAAATCGAGATTCTGAACGAATATTTGAATATTAAAAGTTTGTTAAAATGAATTTGTATTCTTAGCTTTTAATGAGCAAAACCATGGACGTACTATCGCTAAAATGACAACCGCTGGGTCAGTCGCATCAATCTTACCAAAACTTTGTATTAAAGAAACCAAAAAAACTTAAAAATACTGAATATTATTTTTATTTTTATTTTTTTTTAGTGAAGACGATGTTTGAGCGCCAGGAGTACTTATGCCTCTTTGTATACACATGCAGGATATACCACAGATATAATCAAGTGTATTATTCACAAATACAACACAAATATACTTTCGCTTATTTCTATATTTATTTGCTACTGGTCAAACATCATTTGGTTAGATGTGAGAATTTATGGTACATAATCTGAATTAAATTTACTTGACGATGCGTATTATTCTTTTATGTCTCATTAATGATGTTTTGAGGTAACAGAGGTCACTAAGGGTGGTCTGCTAAATCATTTTGCCGCTCAATTTATTTTTAAAGGTCCAACGCGATCGACCAACATACGAATAATTGCTAAAGTGTAATCAAAAATGTGTCGGTTATGTTTGAGTTTTATTCAATTAACCGATTTCTCTCTTCACACCGATTAACGCATCATTTATTTTCACAGATTTTTATGTATTTATCCTCAGTAATGACCTTGCGTTGCTAGAACACATATATATTCTCATGCAAACAATTATGGGAGAGAGTCACTTTGAGTATTATTTCCGTCTCATTGATTTTCTAATGAAATCTTTTTTAGGTTGTAATGTTCTTAGTTAACATAATTTCTAATTGATTGAAGTGGGAATTATTTTCTTTCGCTTTTCTTTTAAAATGTCTCTTTGAATTATGCTTATGCGTTGGCTCAGTTAGACTTATTGGAATTAATTAACGGTACATAAAGTCGCAACCTTAAAAGTGAAAAATCTCATATCTTGATGATCTAATAAATGGAGAGACCAACAATTTATTCTAAGTCGCCTCCGAATGGCTGATTATTTTTCGTGAGAAGCCTTTATTGCCTATTATTTCTCTCCACATCCGAATGGTTCATGAACTACCTCAATTATTGTAGGAAAATTTATTTTTTATTATTGTTTGATTTTGATCAAATCCGGATTTGAACCCCGGCCTGCTAAATGGTAGTATCTAATGCTAACCACTCGGCTATTGCGCCCACCAAGAGCGACCAAAAATAGCCGAAAACGGTTGAGCGCAATACTGTGCATGCCTAGGTCCGTTTTTAACCTTAGTGGGACATCGGCTGGCGTTTGCTGACGGCACTGACATAAAGAGGCGAGCCAGACCCATTCGTAGTGAGCAAGGACAAGAAAAAATCTTCTGTCATTAAGCAAATAACCATCGCCTTGGCAACTCGGCTCCCACGTCGTAAGTTAGTTTTGTTTACAATTGGACGGAGTAAAGAGCCGGAAAGTAAAGTCCTCTTCCTCGCAGATCTCTGCGAGTAAGGCACTCGTATAACCACTCAAACCCGAAACAGTGCTTTATTTAAGAATTCTTCCATTCCGCGTGTGCTTGACGAAAACGAAACCAAACGA